CCTGACGTACACAGGACACTACTCACACACTGACCTGACATACACAGGACACTACTCACACACTGACCTGACATACATAGGACACTACTCACTCACTGACCTGACATACACAGGACACTAATCACACACTGACCTGACATACACAGGACACTACTGGCACTGTGCTGACATACACAGGACACTACTCACTCACTGACCTGACATACACAGGACACTACTCACTGACCTGATACAAATAGCTTACTACTTTCACACTGACCTGACACTCACAGGACACTACTCACTCACTGACCTGACATACACGGGACACTACTCACTCACTGACCTGACATACACAGGACACTACTCACACACTGACCTGACATACACAGGACACTTCTCACTCACTGACCTGACATGCACAGGACACTTCTCACACAATGACCTGACATACACAGGACACTACTCACACACTGACCTGACATACACAGGACACTAATCACACACTGACCTGACATACACAGGACACTACTCACATACTGACCTGACATACACAGGACACTGCTCACATACTGACCTGACATATACAGGACACTACTCACACACTGACCTGACATAAACAGTACACTACTCACTCACTGACCTGACAGACACAGGACACTACTCACTCACTGACCTGACACGAACAGCACAATACTGTCACCTGACACACACACACACACACACACACACACACACACACACACACACACAGGACACTACTTACACACTCACCTAACACACACAGTACACTACTCACACACTGACCTGACATACACAGGACACTACTCAATCATAAACCTGACACAAACAACACACTACTATCACACTGACCTGACACAGATACAAAAAGAACATTACTCACATACTTACCTGACTCACTTAAAGTTTCTGATTTTTTTCAAAGTTCAAGAGGGATAACTCTGTCAGCTATCATCAAACCATGACCAAATTCGAAATTGACCATTGTTGCAGTCAGGACTTTATTTCTGTTATCTGTCAGCTTTTTAATGTTATTCTAAATTCTTGAAAGTTTCCAGAAATATGGAGTAAAGGTGCTTTTTTACAAATACTTAAAAACAAGGCTTGTGCTTATGACCCTGATAAGTTTCGTGGTATAACTATACTTAGTTGTTTTGGTAAACTTTTTACATAAATAAATAAATGATAGTCCTGGAGTCAAAATTGGCCCTGCCACGGGGTCATTGATTTTCCTTATATGTTTATAGGAAAAACTTAAAATATCTTCTTAAAAAAACCAAATAGCTAGGGCTAAGATATTAAGCATGAAACATCTTCTAGGGAGTGTCTACCAAGCTTGCTCAAATAAAAGTCCTGTTGTCAAAATTGGCCCAACCCCGGGGAATCATTGACTTTCCTTGTATGTATTTAGGAAAAACTTTAAAAATGTTCTTTTAAAAAAACCCAAATAGCTAGCGCTATGATATTAAGCTTGAAGCATCTTCTAGTGAGTGTCTATCAAGTTTGTTCAAATAAAAGCCCTGGGGTCAAATTTGCCCCGCCCCGTGGGGGTCATTTAATTTCCTTTTATGTACACATCTTTTGGAACTGTTGTTTTCCCTTAGCAATAGCAACCAGTAATGTTTTTACACATTCACTATTTCAGGTACAAATATGACCTTTGTGATATCAGTTTAAGATTTAGGTTTTACATCTAATTTTGTTTATTGTTTACAATATTACTTTTTCATTGTCATGGAGAGTTTCTTTATTCAGGTGAGCGATTTCAGGGCCATCATGGCCCTGTTGTTTAAAATTACTTTGATATTTCTTTCGTTGATATTTCTTTCCTGTCATTGAAGAGTTCTACTGCAAAATTACTTGTACATAAGTGCTTCCCTTATCATGTGTATACAACGTACACTAGAACAAAAAAGTAAGTTGTATTTTCATTTTCTCGGAATGAATTTGTCGATTTTTTTTTCATTGAATTTCAATTAAACTGTGTTTATACAAAAGACTACGGTGGCACAAAGGTGACATGTGTGTGTTTTTATTTATCTCGTGCGCACAAGATACTATGTCATGGCCGCGAGTTCGGAGTTACTAAGACGTGGCCACCGAGTTACTAAGTCGTGGCCACGAGATAGTTAAGTCGTTGGAACGAGATACTATGTCGTGGGGACGAGAAAACTATGTCGTGGCCACGAGTTACTAAGTTGTGGCCACAAAGATAGTTAAGTCGTGCGCACGAGATAAATAACCAATCAGATTACACTATTTATATAAATTTTCCTAATTAACCAGCATTGGTGCTATAATTACAAGGATGCCCCCTTTTCAATGCCTGTAAAAAGAGCCATTTATACAAAGTTTATTGATCGGTCAATAATTTTACATTTAGCGTCACTGTGACCTTGATTTTTAGACCCAGTGGCATCAAAATTATTAGGTGTCATCTACCGATCTCGTGCCCACGACTTAGAAACTCGTGGCCACGACGTAGTATCTCGTTTATCTCGTGGCCACGACATAGTATCTCGTGCGCACGAGATACCGTATAAGTTTTTTTTCTGCGGGAACTTTATTTCTGCTTTTTCTGCGGTTCATAACGACACCGCAGATTTAAAAATCGCAGAAAATTAAGCCATTCCCTATTGTATATGTCGGAATATGTCAACCACCGGTATTGTATAAATACATTACCATGTACCGTTATCTGCTTTGTAGATGGGAATTTTTCTTAATGTAATTTGTTTTATGAATACATAACATATTAATAATATATTCAAATATTGAGGAAGATGAAAAAAGGTTTTCTAATCACAAAAACGGAACACTTTATCTCTATATATAATAAATTTCACGGTAAATAGATGATCAGGCTATTTCTAATATAAATAAAATATACGATTTGTTCAAAGGAAAGTAAATGAATAAATATTAGAAAAACATGTAGATATACCGTCATGTACGTTGGGTTTTTTTGTTGTTATTTTTTTATGATGGCTGATTTTAAATATTCTTAGAATTTCATTTATATTTGGAAGAATTTTCTTTCAGTGTAGTCTGAATTAACATCATCCGTTATTCATATGTTTGATACGCGGTCTAGAATGGAAGCGCAAGTCGTATTCTTGCAAAGAACAGGCGAGTACTGGTATACAAAATCCAAGTTGTAATGTAAAAAAACTGGGAAAAAATGAGAAATAAAAACGGTCTTATACTTCAGATGAACTATACTCTCACTGAAAGAAATATTTTGGGAAAGAAATATGCAGAAGTTGGCTTTGATTCGATATTAACAATCGTCGTATATATCCCATAATGCGGAATTGTTAAAATAATGCAGAATTGTGCAAAAATCAGACATAATGCCGAAAACTAGTATCTTATGAAGCTATATAGTTCGGCAAATGTGTCAGGTATACCGAAAAACAAACTATAAAGAAAGGCTTCATGTGCGTTATTAACTTCAACGCCAGAACAGTAGCGAGTTCGTTTACCGGAATATATGTTATGAGGGTCCTTACAGCCGTATGTACGGAGCCCCTAATGTGACATTTTCGACACTTTTTTTCTCGGCACTTAACTCGTTTATACGAAATATTAATTCGTAATTACGAATTAATATTTTGTAATTACGAAATATTAATTCGTAATTACGAAATATTAATTCGTTTTGACGAAATATTAATTGCCGATGGCTGCATGGCATCTTACTACCGCAGCTGGCTGCCGTGAGGCATAATGACACAGGGCATGTCATTAACGCTGCTGGTTGCCATAGACCATGTGTCATTACCACCGCTGGTGACTGCAGACCATGTCATTACCGACGATGTGGCAATAGAGCAAGCCATTACTGCCGCTTTTGGTCTAAGGGAAAGTCATTACCGCTTCTTGTTTCCTAGCATATCATCATCGACGCTGATGGCTGTAGGGCACGTCATAACCGCTGCGAGCTGTCGGAAGGCATGTTTCATTTCCGCTGTTGGTTGCCATAGAGCATGTCATTACCACCGCTGGTGGCCGTAGGGTCTGTTATTGTCGCTGCTGGTCGCCGTAAGACATGTGTCATTACTGTCGCTGGTGGCAATATAGCATGTCAATGCCGCTGCTGGTTGGTGTAAAATATGTGATTACCATTTCTGGTTGACATAGGGCATGTGTTATTACTGCAGTTATTTGCACCACAGATGGCTATAGGGCATGTAATTACTGCTGCTGTTTTCCGTAAAGCATGTGTCATTACCGGCGCCGGTGGCAGTAGGGCATGTAATTACCTCTGCTGGGTGCCGTAGAGTATGTGACATTGCCGCAGCTAGTGGGCGTAGAGCATGTTATCACCACTGCTGATGGCTGCAGAAGACGTCAATATCCCGAATGGTACATCTTACCGCCGCTGGTATCTGCAGAGCATGTCATTACAGGCTTTGGTGACCGTAAAGCATGTCATAACGGCCACTGGTGGCCGTAGAGCATGTTATTACCGCAGCAGGCGGTCGTAGAGCATGTTATTACCGCAGCAGGCGGTCATAGAGCATGTTATTACCGTAGCAGGCGGTCGTAGAGCATGCTATTACCACAGCAGGCGGTCGTAGAGCATGTTATTACCGCAGCAGGTGGCCGTAGAGCATATCATTCCAATCGCTGGTGGCTGCAGAGCATACTTCAATACCGTTGGTCATGTCATCATTACTGCTGCTGGTTGCCTTTATACATGTGACATTACCGCCGCTGGGGACCGTAGGGCATGTCATACCACTCCTTTTTGCCGAAGGGAATGCCATTACCTCTCTTGAGGCCGTAAGGCATAGTCATATCATTTACCGCTGTTGGTTGTCGTAGGGAATGCTCCTGATGATGACCGTAGGGCATGTCATTACCGCGTCCTTTTGGTTAAAATTAATTCACTTAATATTAACTTTTAGTACTTGTTTTTTAATGATTATTTTATTATCGTAATGACGATTCATTAATTCTTTTGCTTGATAAAGATAATAACTTTTTTGTTTTAGGTTATGGTGCTGCAATGATCTACCTGATGTTGATGGTCAAATGTGTGCTTTTATGGTGCAACCAATAAATATGACAATATTTAAAAAGTAGAAACAGAGAATAATGCTATGTAATTTGAGAAATGAGACAAACTGCATTAAAATGAAAGTATTGCAGTACATCTATGGTCTAAATTGATTAGAAAAATTGAAATAAAAAAATAGCTTCTTGTAAGGACACCTTTTAGTGAATATCGATATCTAAAAGATTAACCGTTGAGTAATTTAGGAGAAACATTGAATTTTTAATTAGATATTTCAAGCATAGGTAGAATTGTATAGTGACCCACCAGTGTTGGCAGGTGTTTATATAATTAGATATTTCAAGACTAGATAGTATGTAATAGTGGCCCACCAGTGTAGGCAGGTATTTATAATGAGATATGTTAAGGCTAAATAGGATTTAATAGTGGGACACCAGTGTAGGTAAGTATGAATAATTAGATATTTCAAGACTAGATAGTATGTAACAGTGCCCCACCAGTGTTGGTAGGTATTTATAATGAGATATGTTAAGGCTAAATAGGATTTAATAGTGGCCCACCATTGTAGGTAGGTATTAATTATTAGATATTTCTTGACTAGATAGTATGTACAAGTGGCCCACCAGTGTAGGCAGGTATTTATAATGAGATATGTTAAGGCTAAATAGGATTTAATAGTGGCCCACCAGTGCAGGCCGGTATTTATAATGATATATGTTAAGGCTAAATAGGATTTAATAGTGACCCACCAGTGTAGGAAGGTATTAATGATTAAATATTTCATGACTAGATGGTATATAATAGTGGGCCACCAGTGCAGGTAGGTATTTATTATGACACATATCAAGACATAATATGATTAAATTATCGCCCACCAATGTAGGTAGTTATAAATAAATATATATTTCAAGACTAGATAGTATTTAATGTGGGCCACCAGTGTTGTTAGGTATTTTTAATTAGATATATTAAGACGTTATATGATATAATAATCCCCCACCAATGTAGGTAGGTAATAATAATTAGATATATCAAATCTAAATAGGATTTGATAGTGAACTTCCGGTGTAGATAGGTTTTAATTATTAGATATTTGAGGACTTGATAGTACGCAATTATGGGTAGTTATGGGTCACCAGTGTAGGTAGGTATCTATAATGAGATATATCAAGACATAATATGATAAAAAAAAGTCGACCACCAGTGTATGTAGGTAGGAATAAATAAATATATATTTCACGACTATATATATATGGGCCACCAGTTTAGGAAGGTAATGATAATTAGATATATGAAGATTGGACATTATAAATCAATATTTTTATTGAGAGTGGACAATGACCATACCCATATGTTGAGTACTTACAGTAGCTCCACTTAGCATCAAAAGACTTCACGTCTTACATAAATTAATCAATGCACTTAAAATTGAAAACCATGCAAAACTTACCGTAGAATATACCCGGTATTCATATAATTACCATAATGTTTTTATTTACTTCTAATTTCTTTTCTTTTTTATGTAAACCGTTACATATCTTTCTTTTTTTTTGATTGCATTGTATAGAAAACATGAATTAGTTTCTGAAAACAATTCAACACAATGTTAGCACTATGGTGTGCTTTTTTACTTTTAATAAAAGGGAACACTTGAGATTGGTCCTTGCTGTATTTGTTAAAGAATGTCAATCTTAATTTTTACAATTATGTGTAATAAAATTGGTTCAGGATTCAACTTGTGTTCTTGTTTCTACCATAATTATTTTTACAAATGTTATTGTAAACAAGACTGGTGCATGACATATTTTACCAGGCAATATTTAGGATTGCCTATCATCCAGGATGGATCATTTGTTTTGTTTATTATCATAGGTTTTTTCCTTCATACTTCTAAATACATGTAAATATAAAACCTCATTGAGCGTTTCTGTCACTGAACCTCCCACATGTAAGTGATATACCCTATTGACTAAAACTTTAACTCTTTCTAAAATGAAATGAGGAAGTTACTAGTAACAGAATACCTTGTAAAAGAATGTTAATAGAGTTATGGTTGTCGGCAATTAAAGATAGTTGTGGTTCTTGTATGTTGCATTTCCTTTCACTGTCGTTGACCATTGATGAAGTTTTATTGAATTACTTTGTAATAAGTCCAGATAGAGTTACCGTTCTTGAGCACTGCACTTCCTCTCATTGCTCTTGGCCATTGTATGAAGTTGCATTAAATAAACATTTGTTTTAAGTTATGCATCAGACAAGGTAAAAATAAAGGGCAATTACTCTGCAAATACTGAAGATGGAGTTATGATTATTGTACACTGCACTTCCTTTCATTGTGCTTGACCATTGTATGAAGTTATATTGAATACCAACTACTAGTTTTCAAGTTATGCACTGGACAAGAAAAAGTAACAAAGGGCAATAACTATGTAATTAGTCCAAATAGAGTTATGGTCCTTGAGCACTGCACTTCATTTACAGAAAGTATTAAAGAGCAATAACTCTGAAATAAGTCAAGAAAGAGTTATGCTTCCTCTCAATATCTTTGACCATTGTACGAACTTGTATGGAATTCCGACAAGTTGATTTCATGTTACACTCTGCGACAAGGAAAAGTAACAAAGGGCAATAAATATAAATAACTCTGGATAGAGTTATGGTTATTGTGCACTGCACTTCCTCTCATTGCGCTTAAACATTGTATGAAGTTGCATTGAATTCCAACCATTAGTTTTCAAGTTATGCACTGGACAAGAAAAAGTAATGAAGTGCAATAACTCTGTGATTAGTCAAGATGGAGTTATGGTTCTTGTGCATTGCTCTTTTTCTCAATGTGCTTGGCAATTGTATGAAGTTTTATTGAATTCCAACTAGTGGTTTTCAAGTTATGCTCCGGACAAGGAAAATGCAACGGAAAAGTAACAAAGGGCAATTACTGTATAATTACTTTACACGGAGTTATGGTTCTTGTGCAGTGCACTTCCTCTCAATGTGCTTGACCATTGTACGTAGTTGTTTTGAATTCCAACCAGTACTTTTCAAGTTATGCTTCGGACAATGAAAAGTAACAAAGGGCGATAACTCTGTAATTAGTCAAAATGGAGTTATGGTTTTCGTGCACTGAACTTCCTCTCAATGTGCTTGATCATTGTATGAAGTTGTATTGAATTCCGACCATTAGTCTTCAAGTTATGCTCCAGACAAGGAAATTGCAACAGACCGCTGCATTTTGCAGCATTTTGATATATAAATAAACAGAGTCTATGATTGAATGCGTCAATTAACCTTCTCATTATATGGCATGACAGGAATGAAAAAAATTAGAAACCTTACACCTTCTCAAAATAAGGGCGGAGCTACGGTTTCTCCCGAAACCGATCTTCGTTATGTACAACCGCTAACCGTGGGCCAATAGCGATTACCAACGGGATTGTGGCCATACCTGAAAGCGGTGGTTCCTTTAGTGTTTGACAAAATTTATAAATCATTAAAATGTATATTAAAGCGACGTAAAATAATCTGTAAGAAGATGCATGGTAATATAGAACTTTTAATGTGTAGAAGAACAGAACTTAAGTATCTGAACTTGATAGTGAAAGAACTTATGAATGTAGATAGTTCGTTTTAGAACTCCTTTAGATCAATAAAATATTAGACGCGTATACAAAATGTACCATGTCAGAAAAATTTCCAAAATTTCAGATTGTAATTTCAAAATGACCAATGAAATGTTTACAGATATTCAGTTCTTCCCTGTATTTTACAGGAAGTCCAACTGAAAACAGACGGCCTCCAGTCGAATAATCATTTAAATCTCTTTTATTGGAACAGGTACAACATTTATTTATTTCGAAGCGTCTGAATGAAATCTTAAAAGTTCTGCATCTTAAAATTATTAAGATCATGATACTGAAATTAAGTGTAGAATGACATAGGGTCTGAAAATTACGGTGGCACAAAAGTGACATGTGTGTGTTTTTATTTATCTCGTGGCCACGAGTTACTATGTCGTGGCCACGAGATACTACGTCGTGGACACGAGATACTATGTCGTGGCCACGAGTAACTAAGTCGTGGCCACTAGATAGCTAAGTCGTGGCCACGAGATACTATGTCGTGGCCTCGAGTTACTATGTCGTGGCCACGAGATACTATGTCGTGGCCACGAGATAGCTAAGTCGTGGCCAAGAGATAGCTAAGTCGTGGCCACGAGATACTATGTCGTGGCCACGAGATAGCTAAGTCGTGGCCACGAGATAATCAACCAATCAGAATACACTATGTATGTATTATGATGTTTTTAAACTTTATAACTTACTTTTACATGCAACATTAATCTTTGAAAACAATGAAGATATTCACTTTTAACTTATCTTTAGGATCAAATTAGAAAGTCACCTTCCAGGGCCCATCAGACATTAATTTTGACTATATCTCTTGTTGGGACAATTTTGTGATGGAATTGGTCAATTTGTACGTACTACGGCCTGTTAACCTTGTTTATACGATAACATGAGAAGGAATAAGTCCTGGTTTATTTTCTTTGGAAGGGACATTGCCCATGGACAGTAGATAGCCTTTAAGGTAAATCCTTGTCTGATGAATAATTTAGAAGGGATAACTCAGGAAGATCATTGCACCTGATCAGTAGATGACATTTAATAATTTCGAGGTCATTGGGTCAAAAATCAGGGTCATAGTGACGCTTAATATAAATAATTGACCAATCAATAATTTTAATAAATGGCACTTTTACAGGCTGGTGAAGTAGGGACATCCTTATACTATAGCACATGTCTAGTTAATTAGAGAAATTCATATAAATGGTGTAATCTGATTGGTTATTTATCTCGTGGCCACGACTTAGCTATCTCGTGGCCACGACTTAGTAACTCCTGGCCACGACATAGTATCTCGTGGCCACGACTTAGCTATCTCGTGGCCACGACTTAGTAACTCGTGGCCAAGACATAGTATCGCTTGGCCACGACATTGTATCTCGTGGCCCCGACTTAGCTATCTCGTGACCACGACATAGTAACTCGTGGCCACGACATAGTAACTCGAGGCCACGACTAAGCTACAAGATAATAACTCGTGGCCATGAGATAATAAGGTCAATATAATTGAGGTCACAAGATAATAAGTCCTGGGCACGAGTTGTTATTATTATTATATTGTAACACCTCTCCTATCTGCGTAAATAATTAATTGTGGTAGTGTGGAGCAGACAGGAACGATTTTTTCACAGGGCAGAGTTAAAAAAAAGGGAAAAAATTTTTTATATGGGTTTCAGTTTAAAATCAAGGGGTAAAATTAAAAGTTTTAAACCCCTTTTATTTGGTTATTTATATTTTAAAAAATTCGCAAAAGATTTTTAAAAAATAATTTAGCAAAATGATAACTGAATAAGTTCAATTTATTTGGTAGGGGCATTGCCAATGTTCAGTAGATGGGCCTATGTTATTTTTTGAGGTTTATAAAGGGCGAAGGTAAAAGGGAAAACCCTACCCAAAATTTAAAGTTTAAAAACCTTTCTTATGAAAAAAACTAGAGAAAAAAAATGAAATTTTGGTTTATATATCAATAATTTGTATATTTTTGGGGACTTTTAACAAAAATGTAACACCGTTTTTACGCGGGGGTAATTTCCTTTGGCACATCTACTTAACTAAGAATTTTTTTTTATATATATAGTGTAATCTGATTGGTTAATTATCTCGTTCTCACAACTTAGTAACTCGTGGCCACGACATAGTAACTCGTGCGCACGACTTAATTATCTCGAGGCCACGACTTAGTGAATCGTGGTTACGACATAGTATCTCGTTCGCACCAGTTAATTATCTCGTGGCCACGACATAGTATCTCGTGCGTACTTCTTAATTATCTCGTGGCAACGACTAAGTAACCCATGGCCAAGACATAGTCATTCGTGGCCACGACATAGTATCTCGTGCCTCTCGTTCCAACGACTTAGTATCTCGTGGTAACGACTTAGTATCTCGTGGTCACGACTTAGTATCTCGTGGCGCACTTCTTAATTATCTCGTGGCAACGACTAAGTAACCCGACATAGTCATTCGTGGCCACGACATAGTATCTCGTGCCTCTCGTTCCAACGACTTAGTATCTCGTGGTAACGACTTAGTATCTCGTGGCCACGACATAGTATCTCGTGCGCACCATTTAATTATCTCGTGGCCACGACCTAGTAACTCGTTGCCACGATATAGTATCTCG